GTATTTCCCACCGTCATTTTTTGACATAATGGTGCATTTGGTTCGTGAGATTAAGATGTGCGGTCCAGTCTTTATGAGCTGGTGCTATCCTTTTGAAAGAAACATGGGCACATTGCAACATAAAGTCAGGAATCCAGCCCATCCAGAAGGTAGTATGATTCAAGGGATTTTGGCGGAGGAGATTAGTAATTTCGTGGCGGAGTATGTTGCCGTTGCTGAACTAATTGGGCTTCCCACTTCCCGACATGAAGGGAGACTTGATGGTCATGGCACCCTCGGGTCGAACCGGATCTCACCTACTCATGATCAGTTCTTGCAAGCTCACCTATTTGTGCTTCATCATGTTGCGGAGGTTCACCCATATTTAGAAGAGCACATGGATAGTTTGCGTGCGGAATTTCCATCAAAAGGGGAAAGCGCACTAATGCAGTTGCATAATAAGATGTTTGTGACGTGGTACCATGATCGAGTTATGCGTCAATTTGATGAGAGTGTCTCTGATACTATAAAGTGGCTAGCTTATGGTCCAAAGGAAGATGTTTATTCTTTTGAGGGATATGACATAAATGGGTATACATTCTGGACTGAGCATCGTGATCAGAAATCCTCATCGACTCAAAACAGTGGTGTCACTCTGGTGGCTTCATCAAGAGAATTTGCAAGTGCGAAGGACACAGCACCTGTTGATGCACAATTATCCTACTACAAACGAATTCAGGAAATATGGGAACTAAGAATGAAAATAAACAAGTTGGGAAAGTTAGTTGCTCATTTTTGCCATTTTGAACTTATTTTGCTCCTATAACCTTGAATTAGCATGAAATCAATGACTTTTAAGCATTTTCAACTTATAAACATGTTTTGTATACCAAATATGAGTTGTTAGAAGGATTAGATGCGAATTAGGAATGAAGATAAAGAAGTTGGGAAAGTTAGTAGCTCATTTTTGCCATTTTGAACTTATTTCGCTCCTATAACCTTGAATTAGCATGAAATCAATGACTTTTAAGCATTTTCAACTTATAAACATGTTTTGTATACCAAATATGAGTTGTTAGAAGGATTAGATGCGAATTAGGAATGAAGATAAAGAAGTTGGGAAAGTTAGTAGCTCATTTTTGCCATTTTGAACTTATTTCGCTCCTATAACCTTGAATTAGCATGAAATCAATGACTTTTAAGCATTTTCAACTTATAAACATGTTTTGTATACCAAATATGAGTTGTTAGAAGGATTAGATGCGAATTAGGAATGAAGATAAAGAAGTTGGGAAAGTTAGTAGCTCATTTTTGCCATTTTGAACTTATTTCGCTCCTATAACCTTGAATTAGCATGAAATCAATGACTTTTAAGCATTTTCAACTTATAAACATGTTTTGTATACCAAATATGAGTTGTTAGAAGGATTAGATGCGAATTAGGAATGAAGATAAAGAAGTTGGGAAAGTTAGTAGCTCATTTTTGCCATTTTGAACTTATTTCGCTCCTATAACCTTGAATTAGCATGAAATCAATGACTTTTAAGCATTTTAAACTTGTAAACATGTTACTAATGACTAACTATTTGCGTGTCTTGTGGTGGTAGGTGTCTACATAAAATTGGTGGTGATGAATATCTTCACCACGAAGAGGATATGGATGATGAAGACATTGGTAGTTCTCAATCTGGTGACGAGTTGTATGATGTCAACAATGAGCACGATTTGGGTGAACCAGAAGACCAAGCTCATGATGACTTGCAGCGTAGGCTTGATGCTTATGAGATAAAAGCTGAATGTGCCCCCCTTATTAGGGATGATATTGTCTCCGAGTTTGTACAAGATTCATAAGGACAAATGCAACGTCAAGTGAAAACCAGTGGTGGTGGAAAGGCACCAGGGAAGAGAAAGGTAAGGGGTGCAACAAAAGCTTTTAAGAAACCCGGGGAGCCCATGATTCTTGAGTTTGACGAGCTGGGTCAACCTACTGGGCAATGGCGCAGCAAATATTCCACACACATTGGGATATTGACTCGTAAAATACCGATCACACTTGACTGGGCAGGGATACCTAAAGGGTTGCTTCAAATGTTTTGGGATGATACAATGGTAAGTGTTTTGCATTTCTGTTTTTCTAAAAAACCTTCGTACCAAAATCAATGTGCATTCACCGAAAGCAAACCAAACTTCGTAACATTGGTTGTGCAGCCTGCCTACTTGACTGTGCAGCAGGCCAGGGCTGTGTGCAGCTGCCTAGGCTGGTTGTGCAGCCTGCCAGGGCTGCTGTGCAGCTGCCTAGGGTGGCTCTGCAGCCTGCCTAGGGTGGTTGTGCAGCCTGCCAGGTCTATTGTGTAGCTTGCTTAGGCTGGCTGTGCAGCCTGCCAGGGCTGCTGTGCAGCTTGCCTAGGCTGGCTGTGCAAGATTTTTCTTCCTTTTTTTTTTTACTTTATTTTGCCCTAGAATAACATGTACGTTTGCCATTCTTACAGAGTGTGTTTAATATTCTTGATGAGCCAGACAAGAGAAGATCGTTTGAAGGTTTTGTACAAGAGATTCAAAAACTTCAAAAGTTCGTTGAGAACAATATGGATCCATAAGAAACAAAGGCATAGTACCAGGGTTTGAGGACTTGCCACTACCGGTGCCTAGAGAGGAATATGACTTCATCACGCTGCTTGATGCGAAAGGTAGCTTTGTGCAATGGCCACGTGATCGGGTGAGGTTGATAGGAGGGGTTAGTGTACACTACTTACTTTGTTTTTAAAACATGTCCCAAATTGCTTGTAATATAACCATGTGCTTTTATGTTACAAATGAAAATCAGTCATGTAAAAGGAAGAAGGTGGAGAAGCCAAAATCTAAGAATGTCCAACCTACAAAGAACATGGAACAAGGACAAGGGTTGAAGAAGAGTTCGCGAGGTTCTGCCACGAGTTGTACTCCACTAGTAGAAGCTGACATCCTGAATTCGCTCTCTAGAGCCTGTACTTTCTTCATAACCGTGTGAGTGAGTTGCCTAGGGGTAGATCTATTGAAGTGATTTTACCTAAGGCATTGTTCCACTATGATGAGGATGGGATCGCACCAATTGCAAAGGATGGATGTGAAGGAATTTCTATCCGGTGCCATGCTTAACATTTCCATCATTCAAGCTTTCATGAGGTAATGCAATGCCACTATTCCTAATCATTTTGTTGCATTTTCGATTGTAAACAATGCTTTTAATAATTATTCCCCACAATACTGTCATGAAGGGCGCTACAGGAGCACCTTAGATGCTTAGGCGATTCCAAGGCTGCAGTTGGGTAGTTTTGCCCCGAGCAGACCTCGCTTACCAGTGCAACCCTCGTGATGTGGAAGATTACCTAGAACGGAGTATCAGGGAATCAACGCGTGTGGGAGATAAGTTCATATTAGCCCCATGTTTTGAGGAGTACGTTTACAAATGCCATAAATTCAGTTGTTGTTTTTTTAAAATTTTTTTGAAAATGCAGTTCACTATGGCGTATATTTGTTGACGTTTTTTCAATATATGCAGTGCTTGGACCCTTTTGGTGATTTGTGTTTCCAAATACACAATCTACCACTTTGATTCACTTCGGCAGAATCCACCACGTAGGTTGCTAGTGAATACACTAGGCGAAAAACCCCAATCCCCACCGGTTCAAACCACACATTTCCCACCGGTATTGAACCGGTTTTGATTTGGGGGGTGCTAAATCCCAAAAGATTTCCCACCGGTTCAAAACCGGTGGCAAAAATTACTTTTCGCACTGGTTTTGCAGTGAACCGGTGGCAAAAACATCCGATTTAGCAAATACCCGGAGGACTTTTCCCACCGGTTTTCAACTGAACCGGTGGCAAAACCATGAGATTTCCCACCGGTTTACACATTGAACCGGTGCCAAAAGTCCCAAAAAATATTTTTTAAAAAAACTTTTAGCATCAGTTCTTTCCAAAACCGGTGCCAAAAGTGCCCAAAAAAAAAAAATTTTTTTTTTTGCATTTTTTTCACTTAAATTGATGTATAATAACTAACATATATATAAAGTTACATATTTTAATTAAAAAAGCTGTAATATTACAATTTTTGTCTAAAAAATAAGATATAATATAGACAATGAAAATTCCTATTCTTTCTTTCAAGGGACGGAACTGACCAGCAGAAGTTCAACCGGTTAGGAACTTCGGATTTTAGGAACTGACCAGCGAAACAAAAAGGTGTGACAGCAAAGACTTACTATAGTAAGTAACTAGTATGAGCTAAGGTCTCATTTTCTATATTTATACTCTCTCCTTGGGATGGAACAGCCGATGCAGAAGTCTCCATGAAGAAGAGACCCTCCTGCTCTACAAAAGCCTTCCCTTCATCAGTAGTAACAGCAACCAGATGCCGAAGATCTGACTTGTTACCAATTAGCATTAGGGGTGTACAAAAATTGGCCCGGACCTGAAACCGGACCTGAACCGACCTGAACCGGACCGGACCTGACCCGGACCTGTTGATTCAAGTCCGGTCCCGGTTCTTAAAAATCCAGGTTCCCGTTCCCGTTCCCGGTCCCGGTCCCGGTCCCGGTCCAAACCCGGGGTTTTCAGGTCCGGACCTGAAACCCGGGAAAATCGTAATTATAAAAAAAAAAAAAAAAAAAAAAAAAAAAAAAAAAAAGAAGAAGAAAACCAAACTCTGAAAAATTGAAACTGAGTTTTCGTGGACTTATTTGTATTTTCGGTGGACTCATTTGTATTTTTGGTGTTTGAGAATCGGGACTTTATAGACTTTATGTAGTTTTGTAATTGATAATTTTGGTTTGTATGTAATTATTAAATTATGCAACAGGTCTAAAAATCACAAAACAGGTCCATATGCAGGTCCATATGCAGGTCCAACAGGTTTTGTATTAAAAAAAAAAACGAAAAAGACACAAAACAGGTCCATTCAGGTCCAAACCCGGACCGGACCTGATTTTTCAGGTCTGGCCCGGAACCGGACCTGTTAATTCAGGTCCGGTCCCCGGTCCTCATAATTACCCAATTCAGGTCCCCGGTCCAAACAGGTCCGGTCCAGGTCCGGTCCGGTTTTGAACCGGTGTACACCCCTAATTAGCATGACCATAACATTCTGATCAGTGTGCTCCCGTAGCTCTCTCAACCACCTTGCAGCATTCTCAAATGTTGACATCATACGCAAGCAAAGCACCCACAACTCCTCGATAGTAGGCACTGGTTATGGCACGATACCTATTTCAACAATAAAGATAGGTCCAATTTAGTTAATTGTTGTCATTCACAAATTGGATAAGAGATAATATTAATTAACTCATAGCAAAGAACTCACAGAAATTAAAAGAAAAGAATCGAGTTGTGAGTTCTAGAAAATGGAAGGGAAATAAATCTATATATTAAAAAAAATAGTTGAGAGTCTTGATTTAGGCCAGACATAGGCCAATATTAAGTAAAGGCACAACAAGACACGACACAACTCACACAACAAAGCTAGTAGCTAAAAGGGGTTCAGGTGAGCTAGATGTGTACCCGGATTTGATGCAACTCAGTTCAGATGTGATCTCTAGAGCAGCATTTGGTAGTAACTATGAAGAGGGACAGAAAATATTTGAACTTCTTAAGGAGCAGACTGATTTAGGCCTCCTTATGTTACAATCAGTATATATCCCAGGAATGAGGTAATTTATACATAGAATCCACTTCTCAAATTAAAACCATGAATAACTTTGTATATTCTGTACTATAGTGTAATAATTACCTGCTGGCTGAGAATGTGAGGAACTCTAACTCTCTTGGATCCATCAGCCATTCGTTTGCTTAGTAAATGGCTTTCTGATGGAGCATTTTCAATCTGCAAGAATTTCAGCATGGAAACAGAAAATGTCAAGGTAGCATAATCAAATCCAAACAAGGAATAGAAATCTACTTGAAGTAATATCAAGGTAGCATAATCAAATCAAATCCATAATTTGTCATAGTCCAATAACCCACTGGAAAATGAACTATCAATTCTAAATGAGTGAAAAAATGAAAAACCGAGCATAAATTCTTTGCATCAAACATATGGTTCAGAACTTTCAGCTCTCCACATTCAGCCAATTACAGATAAAATTCCACTTTACCAATATCATTATCAATTATCAATTATAAAAATAATGCCAAACCATATGTGATTCCATTTATCATGTAGTTGTCACGTTACTGGTTTAAATCACACTATCAACGCGACTACTAATTCAATACAGATGTAATAAGTAGAAAAAGACAAGGAGTGAGGAATCATATACCTTCTGTGAAGAAAGTGAGGGTTTAGCTATATTTGGAGGTGCATTTTCAAGCACAAGCTCTTGCTCAGCCTTTAATTTCGGAAAATTAGTTTCATGTGGCTGCAAATACGAAAACTACAACCAATTAGTTAATGGAAAAACAACACATACACGCCACACCTTATTATCTCCTTCTTTTATAAAGACTTGCCTGTTCAAATCTTTAATGTCAAAACATTCTAGCATAAACACTTTAAAATGCTATAAGAGCTTCAGCAGAAATTGTACATTACTAGTACATGGTTTCACCCATGTACTTGTGCATTAAGGAAACGTAGAACTATAAGAGCTTCAGTCAAGACAAATTACATCATAGGTAAACTTTCATGTGTCCTCAAGGCATTAACATGTAAAAATGATCAAGGTTGAAGTCATTAGCATACAAAGCACTTACTAGAAACATCATAGACGATAACAACAACTGAAGAATCTCTGATGTAACTGGGAATAAGACTCCAAAATCTTTCCAATATACATCAAATACACAATAAACAATAGATGTCCTAGATTTCAATATACATCAAATACACAATAAACAATACCAAAGAATAAGAGTTGCACATACGGCTATACCAACATGATTTCATGATGATGTAACCTGAAGTTTGGAAGGCCAAAATTATTTTGGAGTATTACTTTATACTTGTAGGATACTAGGATCTTACTAATTTCCAATTCTAAACTTGTCCATTAGATATTGAGAAATCTCTACTATATATTAAATAGGCCAACTCTAGGATGAGAAAAATATACTATATAAGTAAAGCTTACAAATTTGAAAAGGAAATGCAAATTTTATTATAGGAAGTTGAACTCATCTCCTATGACAATGTGGCTCAGTGGTTGATATCATTCATAAAAAATCATGGCAATCTATGATTATATTGTTGGCCATGAAGTGCAAACTATGGTTTAGTACAAGTCATGCCTCCCACGGAAGATTTTTTTTAAAAAAAGAACTCGGTATCATGCATCTTGGTTTTATCAAAGACGTCCTTATTTGACTTTAAAACTTCAAGTTTCTGGATGGTGCAATATACCAAATTACCAATTACTAGTGTATATAATTACGGGAAGAAAAAAAATTTAATTTTGATGACTGATATCTGAATCATAGCCAAAATTAGATGATTCGTACCAAATTTATCTTACCTGAAACTAAGGTTGGGATTGATTCTATCTGAAACTAAAGTCACCAGACCCAAAACATAACAAAATGACCCCATTGTCACCTTTAAAAGCCCCTACTTGAAGTCATGCCTCTGATTCTATGATCAGTCAACAAATTACAGAACCATGCACTTGATTGCGGAATGACAAATCTTTGACAAACTATAATTCCTAGTACATATTGTAACAAAATTGCAATTGTATCCTAAATTAATGAAAATTCTCTAGAAAAATTTGTAATCCTAGCGTGAAACAGGGTAAGTTAGGCACAAATACACAATTCAATAAAATAATAAATAAATAAATAAATAAATAAAACAGCAAAATTAGGCATAAAATCATATCATTTGAAAACAATTAGACAAACTAACATCAATTCCAACAAATTCAGCAACCATAAAGGACTTCCTTAACTTAACAGCAGTAGATCACAAATTTCCAGCAAAATTGAATATCAAACTTTGACCAGTGATAGGTAGACAAGATTTAAAAGAAATTGATGCTTCTAGGATAGCAATTCATATCCTGTAAGTTGTAAGGTCAGACAGTCATGTTTCAATCTTCAGTATTTTAAACTGTGGACAGTAGTTGTTTCTCTTCACATAATTTTTCTGAAAGAACAAAAGAGTATTAGATAATTTGCTCAGATCCTCTTTCTCGTAGTCACACCAATGAGAAAGACTAGAAACGTTTCTGATCAAATAGAGCATGATGAAATAGACAGGAAGGATGATAGAGCATGCAAGTTTACAGCAGTTCAACAAAGATCATGCACACACACACACACAAACATACACATACAAGGGGGGAGGGAGGTAAAAAGAGAGATTTCTGATCAAATATATCAGAAACCTGATCAAAATGCAATATCAGAAACCTGAAAAACAACACCATTTTTACCTAATTAAGAACTATCACAAAGTCATATAGTAACAATTCTATGCTCAATCGTGACACACAAAGCTAACAGAAAATTAGCTAAAATTTCTCGAATTATCCCAAATTTTCCTTACAATTAAAAACCCTTAATCTCAAATCGCAGAAAAAATAACTTAATTAGTAGAAATCAAACCGAATTGAAGAAAAAATCATACTTAAATAAGCAGGCATCAATTAAAGATTAATAAATTCAACCAATTAAGGAGAGATCGAAATTCGAGTATGAGAATGAAGTAGAGCTAAATTTGTAGTGTTGTATTGAAAAATCCAGAAAAAAGAATCAGTATGACGAAAACAATAGAGATTTACCAATTGGATGAGAGAGAAAATAATCACCACCAGCACCCACCTTGTAACCACCCTCTCACCGCCATGAATATCTGAAACCCCACCACAACCACCCAAAAGCCACCCAACCAACTCGCACCACCACCAATTAAAGCCCCACGTCACCAGCGACCACCAACAAACCCACCCAACTAACTCGCACGTCCACCAGCGACCAGCCAACCACCTTACCACCTCCAACAAACCGAAACCCCAACTAACTCGCACGACCACCACCGACCAGACGACCACCAAGGAACCCACCCAACCAACTCGCACGACCACCAGCGAACCGAAACAACCACCTTGTTACCACCTCCAACAAATCGAAACCCCAACAAACCACCGCTAATTTAGATCTGAAACCCCAACTTACCACCACCAAGGAAACGAATCGAAATCCCACCACAAAAATCTGAGGACGGGGAGAGGAGAGAAAAGGAGATTATAGTGGGGATTGAGATGAAAGAGAAAAGCGGAGTAGGGTTTGAGATTATACTGGGATTTGAGATGAAAGAGGGAGTGAGGGACTACGGAAGAGGAAAAGTGAGATATTGGAGACCGGTTTTTTATTTTATTTAACAATTGCTTTCGCACCAGTTCGAACCGGTGCGAAAAGTTTCTTTTCCCACCGGTTTGATTAAAACCGGTGGGAAAAGTCTTTTCCCTATTTCTTTTACCACCGGTTTTCAAGAACCGGTGCGAAAAGTGCGGTGCTTTATTCATTTTTTCTACTAGTGATAATATATTGAATAGGTACATATTGCATCCTATTGTTGATTGACCTCACCTAAACCATTGAGTATTTATGTTTCTAACTTTGAACTTACTTTCCTAAAGTGTTATGAAGAAGCTACATTGTCGTTCCGCTGCGGGTCCTACGTGGGAATATGGAAAGGTAATGCCTTGAGTTAGTGATTTGCTAAATATACTTGGCTTCGGTTATGGCTATGCATGATTTGATATCCTTTGTGGCATGTCAGTGTGCGCAACAAGACAACGAACTTGACTGTGCCCCATACGTTATGAGGTTTATTCTTGACATAGTCAGTAGTTGCAAGGACGCACAACAACTAGATGAGGTATGCTTTTACTATCAACCTATTAATTGTTTTCATTATTGCACTGAGCAAAACACAAGCATAACTTGCACCGAACAAAACACAAGCATAACACGCAATATGCAAAGGCACGCTGCCCAGGCTGTGCAACAGCCAAGGCAGGCAGGCCAGGCCACTGTAGCAGCCGAGGCAAGCAGGCCAGGCAGCTGCAGCAGCCAAGGTAGGCAAGCTAGGCCACTACAGTAGCCCAGCCAGGCAGCTGCCCAGCAGCCTGTACATGCACGTGATGCATGCCATTTTTGTGCATTTCGGCCATTTTGGTGATTTTCGGTGAATTTCTGTGATATTGGTGCATTTCGGTGTTGTGATACTCATGACAATGTTTGGTTTTTTTTTTTTTCCTCTAAAGTTTTGCAAGGTTCAAAGGGAAGGCCCGTTAACAAGGAATGAAATTAATAAAGTTCACGACATGTGGGCTTTTTTCGTCACATTTGATGGCATGTAGAATTGTCGTAATGGTTATATTGGTTTGTTAGCTCGACTTTATTAATTACTTATTATTGTCAAGATTATTTTAATTAAGTACGTATTAGTATGTACGTAGTATTTCTAATTGTAATCTTAATATATTTTGGTGTAATTAAATATTGTTGTTCTTAAAATATATTAATGATGTTACTTTTTATATATATAAATATTTCGTGTTATATATATTATTGAATTATTTTGTAACTAATATTAATATTATTATTAATTAATAATATTAATTTTATTATTAATTAATAATAATAAATTTATATCGATTAATAATATTATTTTACTATTAATTAATAATACTGAAATTATTGTGAAAGGTCACTAATAATATTATTATATTAATATTATTAGTGATAAATTATTAAAAAAAAAAAATTCTACAATTGGAAGCGGTTTGGCGCCAAAACCGCTTCCAATTGTAGAATTTTTTGTTTTTTAAAAATGGGAATTGGAAGCGGTTTGGCGCCAAACCGCTTCCAATTCTCCACTAATTGGAAGCGGTTTGAACCGCTTCCAATTCTAAGTGACAATGGCAAGCCCCCCAAACCAAAGCGGTTCAAAACCACTTCCAATTAGGGGGTTTGAACCGCTTCTAAATTAGTTTTTTCTACTAGTAAGGAGGGGTTTGGGCTGCTGGTGGCTAGTGAGGGAGATGGTGGTATTTTTTTTTTTTTAAGTTTATTTTAATTGTTAATCATAATTAAATGTTTATTTAAGAGATAATTAAAGTGTTAAACGAATTTATAAAAAATAAATAAAATTGTTAACCGGCCATTCAGGTTGTAGGTAAAATAACCTGTTTAAAGCGGACACCCCCCAAAGGTGGTATTATTCTGGGATAATCAAAAGGTCGACTTGTTTTTAGCTGACGAGTTAAAGGTCGTATTATTTAAAGCATTTTTTCCAATATTTTTTAAGGCATCCCTAACTATTCTTTTCCCCTGGGTAGTAAGGGGGATCCATTGAGATCGATTAAATGGGACATAGATAATCTGTTATTTTTATGATACTATATATGATAGTATATGTATGCAGGAAAAAAAACCACCCTATCCCCACCAGCCCAGCCACCCCTACCCTCCATGCGCACCCAGACCCCCCACCTTCCCCGATGTCGCGCTAAACCCACCATCCCCTTGTCGTATCTTCAAACCCCTCAAAACCACATCTCACTAACCTCTATTTACCAAACTACAACCCAAAATACCCCATTATTTGTCTGACCCGAACCCAATTCGCCCTCAAAGCAACTAAAAGTGGTGCTCAAATTGACAATCAATCAATCAATCAATAGAGCTCTAAAGAACAGTTACTGAAATTTGGGATGGAAATCAAGAAGGCAATGAAGGAGAGAGAAAAGGTTGAAGAAGAAGAATATTCAAGGTTTTTGAGCTGATTTTTGGAGGAAATAGGGCAAATTGAATGGCCAGATTTTGCAAAAGTGATTGGAACCGGTGTCATTTTGGGTGTAATTGCTGGAGATGTGACAGGGGATGGTGGGTTCAGGCGTTCGGCGGGGCACCAGGGAAGGTGGGCGTGCCGGCGTCGGGGGACAAGGGGTGTCGCATGGAGGGTGGGGGGTGGTTGGGCTAATGGGGTAGGGTGGTTATTTTTTCTAATTATTAAAAAAAATAAAAAAAATCTAACCCTAGTTAGAGATTTTAACTAAAATAATAATTCATGATTACTAAAGATAATTGGAATTTTTGTTGTTCACCATTGAGAAAAATAAAAAAACTAATGAGCACCAAAGAGATTTTCTCTTTTTTTCCAAGTTAAATTAAGGTAATATTACACTCATTGACACCAACTTAACGCGTATTACAATCATTAATATAACCTTATCTTTAGAATTAATTTGACACTGACTTGCTTATTAAAGACTATTAATGATATTTCCATGACCCCAAAAATCAAGATATTAATTTAAAAAATAAACTAGTTTTTTTTATTCATTATTATAATAAACTAATTTTTTTGTAAAGCTTTTAAGGATAATTTTAATATTTTTATTAATCGAATTCCGGCAACTAAAATGTACTTTGGTCACTGAAATGCCAATTATTGTCTTTAGTCCTTGAATTGTAGTCAATTTAATTATAGATACTTAGGTCCCGTTCACTTCACCTTAATTTTGCTAAACTAAAATTATTTTTGCTGAACTTAAATTATTTTTACTGAACTGAAACTAATTTTGATGAACTGAAATTATTTTTACAAATTCTCTATTATATTTCTTCTTTATAGTTACTGATTTTTACTGAACTGAAATTATTTTTACTAAATTGAAATTAAATTTACTGAACTGAACTTATTTTTACTGAACTGAAATTATTTTCAATGAATTTTTATTTTATTTTATTATTTTTTTTTTGATGTGAACTGAACAGGGCCTTAAGATTGTGTCAATGAATATGGTATACTTTAAGTCTGTGTCACTAATGTAATTTTGCCTAAAATTAACAAGGAGAGTTCAAGCATTTGAACTGCAAAAATCTATAACTTTATACTAAAGGCGAACTTTGGGATGACACGTGTTTTGATATGTCTATTTTATATAGTGATTTACCCCCGTCCATTGGTTATATTTAGGAGTAGTTTTGGCTCTACGGAGCTACTTTTGTTACTAATATGCGTTTTCTAATGTTTTCGTAGCTATGGTATTGTTTTAAAGGACATTGCAGATTTAGAGCATTTCCTAGACTTATTTGAGCCACTACGAGCATTGGATTAGGATCGCGTACATATGACCACATTCCGTAGCCCAAGATCGCGTTGGAGCAATCAAACCAATGATTAAGGGTTCAACGAAGAAGAAGAGACCGAGGCAATGGACCAAGTGTTATAAGGACCCAAAGAGGAAATCCGTATTGGGCCAAGAAAATAACCCAATCGAAGAAGTCCTTGATGCCCGGATGCTCGCCCGATTAGGGATGCCCTCGCCTTGAGGCACGCCCCGCCAGGTGAGGCAGATAGAGTAGGAGTACCCTTCGCCCTGATGCGCGCCCTACCGGTCACGAGATGAGTAGCTCACCAACCGAAGGCGGGCGCAACCGGGCGAGATGGCGCCCGACTGGGCGCGTGTTTTTGAGGAGCTTAATGACGATATTTACTTTGTTTAGTTTTAGGATTTGTTAGCTTATTAGTATAAGTACGCTTTTGTTAAGTGATATATTTTATGTCATTCATTAGTTAATTTCCAGATTTTTAGTTTTAAGCTTTTGATTAATACTCTTGTTCTCTTAACTCTTCTGGTTTATGCAATTCCATATTTCCATTTATTTTGGTAATGATTCCTTTCCCTTTTATTTTCAGTAATTTAATTGTTTTGATTAATCATGTCTTGTTTTATTGCTTTGCTTAGTTTAGATTTTAATATGTGTGAGTAGTTTTATTTCTAGGGTTTGAGGGGATCCAAAAATAATATGAAGGGGTAATTTATTATTGTTGATTGTCAATGCTTGATTGATTTCCTATTGATTGATTTATTGCTATGCAATTAGATTTGGCCAGGTTTAATTGTATGAGTTAAGCAATATTGATTCGAGATTCTACAGATGAGAATTGATGTTTAGGTTAGTTTCAATAGGCGGGTTAATTTATAAATGGTTAAATCAAGATTCGAGAGATGTGATTTAATACTGGTAGATTAATTATGTGATTGTAATACGTAGCGAAAACCCTTTATGATCTGATGCATTGATAATTGATTATTATGCTTTACCCTGAAATATTATTTATTGGTGAACCTATACCCTAGGCTTTGATATATTGATTTCTCCTTAGTTTTATTTGCATTAGTTATTTATTTTCCCTTAGTTTAATTCTCATAAAAATGACTTGGTTACTTGATAGTTTAGATTATATTAATCATTTAGGAATAGAAAGACTTTGTTTCCCTGTTGATTCGACCCTACTTCCCTATCTGTTTAAGTTAGAGGACTTAGGTAATTATTTTGATTAGGTGATACGACTAGATCCTATCAAAATTTGGCATCGTTGCCGGGGAGACGGTTTTATTTTTATTCCTGATTATTTTTGTTATACGTCTAGATTATTTTCCTTTGTCTCAGAGAATGCAAGTTCTTTAAGACTGTTTCTCATATTTGTTTGTCTAGTTTTGTGTTTATGCCCAGG